CAGGAGGCAGAGGTTGCAGTGAGCTGAGATTGTGCCACTGCACTCCAGCCTGAGCAGCAGAGCAAGACTCTGTCTCATTACAAAAAAAAAAAAAAAAAATGCAGAGAGATCCCATATACCCTGTACTCAGTTTTCCTCCAATCTTGCAAAACTATAATACAGTATTATAACCAGGATATTGACAGTGATACAGTAATGATAGGGAACACTTCCATTAATAGGAGTATTCCCCACTTTGCCCTTCTGTAGCCATGCAGCTTCCTTCCCATGCCCATCTCACTACTCCTGCCTTACCTCCAGGTAACCATTAATCTGTTCTCCATCTCTATAATTTTGTCACTTCAAGAATGTTACATAAATAGAATTGTCCAGTATATAACCCTTCAAGATTGGTTTTTTCCACTCAGCATGATTCTCTGGAGATCCATCCAAGTTATTGTGTATATTAATAGTTCATTTCTTTTTTTGGTTGAGTAGTATTCCATGATATGGATATAGCAGAATTTAACCACCTATTGAAGGACATCTGTCTTGTTTCCATTTTCAGGCTGTTCCTAATAAAGCTGCTCTGAACATTCGTGCATAAATTCTTATGTGAATATAAGTTTTCATTTCTTTGGAATAAATGCCTACAAGTACAGTTGCTGAGTTGTATGGTAGTTGCATATATCGTTTTTAAAGAAACTTCCAAACCGTTCTGGAATGGCTGTACCATTTTATAGTCCCATCTGCAATGTGTGAGTGATCCAGTTTTTTTGTATCCTGGCCAGCATTTGGTGTTATTACTGTTTTTTATTTAAGCCATTCTGATAGGTGTATTAGTGGCCTTAATTTGCATTTCCCTGAGTGCTAGTGATGTTGAACATATTTTCATGTATGCCATCTGTATATCCTCTTCAGTGAAATGTGTTCTTAACATTTGCTCATTTTCTATTTGGATGGTTTTTATTTTTAATTTTAGTTCTTTCATAGAAAAATGTTTTTAATTTTGATGAAGTTCAGTTTTCCCTTACATAGATCATGCTTTTGCTGTCAAGAACTTGTTGCCTAAACCTGGATCCCAGATTTTTCTCTTATGTTTTTTCTAAAAGTCTTACAGTTTTACATTTAAGTACATAATTCATTTTGGGTTACTTTTTGTATTATGCATGAATCTTAAGTTGAGGTTCATTTCATTGCTGAGTGTCCAGTTGCTCTGGCACCATTTGTTGTAAAGGCTTTCATTCCTTTATTGAATTGCACTTTAATAAAAAATTTAGGCATTCTTACATGGAATTATTTCTGGGTTCTCTGTTCTGTCCCAGTGACACATTTGTTTATGCCTCTACCAACACTACACAGTCTTGATGACTATATTGATATAATAAGTATTGAAATCAAGTAGACTGATTCCTTGTACTTTATTTTTTTATCTAGAGGCAGGGTCTTGCTCTGTTGCCCATGCTGGAGTGCCGTGGCACGATCTTGGTTCACTGCAGCTTCAGCCTCCCAAGCTCAAGCACTTTTCCTGCCTCAGCTTCCTTGAGTAGCTGGGACTGCAAGTGTTCACCACCATGCCTGGCTAATTACTTTCTTTATTTTTTTGTAGCGATAGAGTTTCACCATGTTGCCCAAGTTGGTTGAACTCCTGAGCTCAGGCGATCCTTCTGCCTTGGCCTCCCAAAATGCTGGGTTTATGGTCATGAGCCACTGACTTGGCCCCATCTACATTTTAGAATAATCTTGCCTATATTTAGAAAAAAATCTTCCCGGGATTTTAATAGGATTTGTTATAAACATGTATATCAGTTTAGGGATAATCGAAGTTTTCATTTCTTTTTTTAAATTTAGAGCTTTGATTTCTTTCATCAGTGATTTGAGTTTTTGATATATAAGTACTATGCATGTTTTAGATTTTCCCCAGTTATTTTTTTGAGTAATTATAAATGGTATTGTATTTCTAATTTGTACCTATATATGTTCGTTGCTAGTATATTGATATTTGTATACTTGTATTCCGTGGCCTTGAACTCAATTAATTAATTAATTACAGGGTGTCTCTCTCTTGCCAAGGCTGGAGTGTGGGTGCCAACACAGCTTGCTGCAGCCATGACCAGGGCTCAAGCATTCCTTCTGCCTCCTGAGTAGCTGGTACTACAGGCATGTGCCACCATGCCAGCTAATTTATTTTTGTAGACACGAGGTCTTGCTGTGTTGCCTGGGCTAGTCTTAAACTCCTGGGCTCAAGCAGTCCTCCCACCTCTACCTCCCAAAGTGCTGCAATTACAGGCATGAACCACTGAGGCCAGCCTATGAATTTATTAATTCCAGTTTTTTTGTAGATCCCTTGGAATTTTCTACATAGACTATCATGTCATCTACAAATAGGAACAGTTTTATTTCTTCCTTTTGATCTATATGCCTTTTATTTCTTTTCCTATTTTTATTAAACTGGCTAGATATTCTAGTAGTTTGTTGAGCAGGAGAACATACTGCTTTGCCTTTTTCCTGATCTTAGGGGGAAATATTGAGTCATCCACCATTAAGTATGTCAGCTGTGAGTTTTTTGTAGAACCTTTTCATCAACTTAAGAAAGTGCCCTCTATTCCTATTTTTCTTTTTCTTTTTCTTTTTTTTTTTTGAGACGGAGTTTCGCTCTTGTTACCCAGGCTGGAGTGCAATGGCGCAATCTCGGCTCACCGCAACCTCCGCCTCCTGGGTTCAGGCAATTCTCCTGCCTCAGCCTCCCGAGTAGCTGGGATTACAGGCACGCACCACCATGCCCAGCTAATTTTTTGTATTTTTAGTGGAGACGGGGTTTCATCATGTTGACCAGGATGGTCTCGATCTCTTGACCTCATGATCCACCCACCTCGGCCTCCCAAAGTGCTGGGATTACAGGCTTGAGCCACCACGCCTGGCCTCTATTCCTATTTTTCTAAAAATTTTTATCATGAGAGGATGTTAAGTTTTGTCAGATGCTTTTTCTGAATCATTCGATATGATCATATGATTTTTCTTGATTAGCCTGTTAGTATGGTGGGTTACATTGATCAGTTTCCAAACAGTGAACCAGCCTTGAGTCCCTAGAATAAGCCCCACTTGGTCATGGTATATAATTCTTTTTATAAATTGCTGAATTCAATTTGCTAGTATTTTTAAAAAGATTTTTGAGCCTATGTTTGTGAATGATATTGCTCCGTAGTTTTCTTTTTTTGCACGGTCTTTGGTTTTGATGTCTGGGTAATACTAGCTTCACCAAGTGAATTGGAAAGTGTTCCTTCCTCTTCTGTGCTTTAGAAGAATTTGTATAGAATTGGCGTTGATTCTTTTTTTTTTTTTTTTTGAGAACAGGGTCTCGCTATATTGCCCAGGCAGGTCTCGAATTCCTATGCTCAAGCTATCATCCCACCTCTGCCTCCCTAAGAGCTGGGATTACAGGTGTGAGCCACAGGGCCTGGTGGTGTTGATTCTTCTTAACACACTTAGTAGAATTCTCCAGTGAAAGCACTGGGCCTTGATATTTACTTGGGGGGAGTTTTTTAGTTATAAATTTAATTATAAATAGCTATAAAGTTCAAATTATGTATTTTATATTGGGGGAGTTGTACTTAGTTTTTCTGAGGAAGTGGTCCATGTCATCTAAGTTGTCAAATTTATATATGTAAGAATCATTCGTAGCATTCCCTTATCCATTTGGTATCTGCACAGTCTGTAGTAGTATCCTAATTCATTCGATATTAGTAAATTGTGTCTTAACTCCTTTTTTGTCAATTTTGTCCACTTTTTATCAATTTTATTGCTCCTTTCAAATAATACACTTTTTATTTCTTGATTTTTATCTGTTCCTTTGTTTTCAGTTTTATTGATTTCTGCTCTTTATTTTCTTTCTTCTGCTTCTTTTGAGTTCATTACATTTTTCTTTTTCTTTTTCTTTCTTTTTTTTTTTTTGAGACGGAGTTTCGCTCTTGTTACCCAGGCTGGAGTGCAATGGCGCGATCTTGGCTCACTGCAACCTCCGCCCCCTGGGTTCAGGCAATTCTCCTGCCTCAGCCTCCTGAGTAGCTGGGATTACAGGCACACGCCACCATGCCCAGCTAATTTTTTGTATTTTTAGTTCAGACGGGGTTTTACCATGTTGACCAGGATGGTCTTGATCTCTTGACCTTGTGATCCACCTGCCTCAGCCTCCTAAAGTGCTGGGATTACAGGTTTGAGCCTCTGCGCCCGGCTACACTTTTCTTTTTCTAGGTTCTTGAGGTGGAGTTCAGATTATTGATTTGATAGTTCTTCTCTTTTCTAATATAACTATTTAATGCTTAAATTTCCCTCCCAGTGCTTCTTTAGCTGACATGTCCCACAAATTTTGATATGCTGTATTTTCTTTCAGTTCAATGTATATATTTTTTAATTTCCCTTGAGATTTTGTCTTTAAACCATGGATTATTTAGAAATGTGTTGTTTAGTTTCCAACTCTTTGTGGAGACTTTCTTGTTACCAATCTTACTGATTTCTAGTTTGTATGATTTTGATTCTTTTAAATTTTTTGAGATTTTGGCTCGGGATATGATCTGTATTGGTTTACGATATGCATGGTGCCTTGGAAAGAATGTGTGTTCTGCTGTTACTGGGTGGAGTGCTCTATAAATGCTAATTAAATCCTGTTGGCTGAGGGTATTGTTAAGTTCTTCTATATCCTACCTGGTGTTCTGTTTAGTTGTTCTATCAATAACTGACAAAGAAGTATTGAAGTCTTCAACTATAACTGTGGATTTGTCTCTCTTCTTTCAGTTTTATCAGCTTTTGCCTCACATATTTTACAGCTCTCTTGTTTGATGCATATACATTTAGGATTGCTATGTCTTCCTGGTATACTACCTTTTTGTTTTTATGTAATGTCCCTCTCTGTCTCTAGTAATTTTCCTTGCTCTGAAGTCTACTTTATCTGATTTTTAACTTATTTTCGATTCCCTGATTTGGGGGTTTTATAACTGAGGCTCTTTTTCCCTTCCTTTTTTAAGGAATATATCATTCGGGTGCAGAGAGGAATTTCTGTGGAAAACAGCTGGCAGGTAAGCATTTTTTTTTTTTTTTGGTCAATTAGAAAAATACTTAAATGCCTGACTCAAACTCTGACTTGGGGCATCTAAAAATCTGGAAAAATCAGAACATGCATAAATATAAATCATGTTTCTTTTAGCTATAAACCTTTAGCTTTAAGACAAGTATGATAAAAATCTTTGCTGTCTCCAGTTGTTTGGTTAAATTGTATATGATTGATACTACCATGGAGGGTATCTAGGAATTTGTTCCCAGCTCAACCCAGAGCAAACAGTATATGTAAATTACACGTTTTGTTTCTAGGAATTCATGCCTCCTCCCCTGCAGCTATGGTTTGAGTTCAGTCTACCAGGTAGAAAGGTGATATTGAGTCCTGGCTATTATGCAGTTTGGGCCACTACATTTTATGGATCTCAGATTCATTCACGGGCAGTTTCTGGTGCTAGCTCCCTCACTGTCTCTACGGGAGGGTCTTCTTGGGGCCCCAGACTCTGCTTTCTTCAGTGGTGGCCTCAGAGAGAAAAGAATTCCTACACAGATCGAGAGGTCCTTCCCATCCAAGTCGACTTACAGAGGGTGGCTGAATTCTGCATAGGGGTCCTTTCTTTCCTGTTTTAGTAATTATAATTACCACTTCCACCTCTCCCAACACTTCCTCTCTCCCAAAAATCTTACCTTGTCTTTCACAGCCCAGCTCAAACCTTAACCTCCTACCTTTGGCAGCCTCTTACCACAGTGGTCCACAATTGGTCTTTTCTTTGAAATTTCAAACTGCTTTCTGTTTGAATAATTATATTTAACATCTATTGAGCATGTATTAAGTGTTTAGCACTGGTTTAAGCACATTAATTCACTTAACCTTTTAAAAAAGTCCTGTGTGGGCTGGGCGCCGTGGCTCACACCTATAATCTCAGCACTTTGGGAGGCCGAGGCGGGTGGATCACGAGGTCAAGAGATCATCCTGGTCAACATGGTGAAACCTTGTCTCTACTAAAAAAAAATACAAAAATTAGCTGGGCATGGTGGCGCGTGCCTGTAGTCCCAGCTACTCGGGAGGCTGAGGCAGGAGAATTGCTTAAACCCAGGAGGCGGAGGTTGTGGTGAGCCTAGATCGTGCGGTTGCACTCCAGCCTGGGTAACAAGAGCGAAACTCCGTCTCAAAAAAAAAAAAAAAAATCCTGTGTGGTAATACTGTCCTCATTTTACATTTGTGAGGTAAGCAACTTGTCTGAGGTCACAGTTAGATCATTGGCAGAACCAAGTTGGAGCTTGTTCATTCTCTCTAGTTAACCACTCCACAATCTTTTGCTTCTTGGCTCTTATCAGGGATGACCTTATATTTAACTTTTTGATGTATATTTGGCAAACAGGGCCAACAACAGTGTCCTACCAGAAAGGTCAACCCTTGGTGCAGTTTTCTAGATCCATTGCATTAGAAACCCAGGGGTACTTACCAAAAATGTAGACTCTTGGGCCCCATCCTAGACCTGATTAGATTTTCAATGGGTGGGGTTGTAGGGGCGGAGAGGTGTGATACCTTTCTTCACCCACCATAAAGATTGTGGCCAACACTCCTATAACAAAAGACAAATTAACAAGAGAAAAACATAAATTTATTTAATCAAAATTTTATGTGATATGGGAACTTTCAGAAATGAAGACCCAGTGACTCAGGGAAAACTGTCCATTTTTGTGCTTGATTTGATGAAGAATGGATAATCATGTAGAATGTGATTGAACAGTTTACTTTTTTATTTTTATTTTTGAGATAGGGTTTTGTTTGCTCTGTCACCCAGACTGAAGTGCATCATGGCTCACTGCAGCCTTGCCCTCCTGGACTCAAGTGATCCTCCCCCTTCAGCTGAGTAGCTGGGACTACAGGCAGGTGCTACTATGCCCAACTAATTTTTTTGTATTTTTTATAGAGACAGGGTTTTGACATGTTGCCAAGACTGGTCTTGAACTCCTGAGCTCAAGCAGTGCTTCCACCTTGGCCTCCCAAAGTGCTGGCATTGTAGGCATGAGCCACCGTGCCTGGCCTTGCCTGTTCTTCTTTTTTTAAAATTTTTTTCTTTTTTTTTTTTTGTAGAAACAGGGTCTTGCTGTGTTGCCCAGACTGGTCTTTAACTTCTAGACTCAAGGGATCCTCTTGCTTTGGCCTCCCAAAGTGCTAGCATTATAGGTGTGACCCATTGTGCCTGGCCCTGTCTGTAGCCTTCCCTCCTCCTGGGTATGGGGCAGGACCCCTTTAGAATGAGAGTCCTCAAGGGAGAAGAGAGAGAGCAGCCTTTCTAGGTTTTATGGCTTGCTTTGTGAGAGGTAGAGGGGCTAGGCTAGGGACAAGGAGGGCCGAAGACCAGAAAGAACTCATTTGGGCCAGGCGTGGTTTATCATGCCTGTAATCCCAGCACTTTAGGAGGCTGAGGTGGGTGGATCACCCAAGGTCAGGAGTTTGAGACCAGCCTGACCAACATAGAGAAATCCTGTCTTTATTAAAAGTACAAAATTAGCTGGGCATGGTGGCTCATACCTGTAATCCTAGCTACTTGGGAGGCTGAGGCAGGAAAATCCCTTGAACTCAGGAGGCAGAGGTTGTAGTGAGCCGAGGTCGTGCCATTGCACTCCAGCCTGGGCAAAAGAGGAAAAACTCTGTCTCAAAAACAAAAACAAAAAAACCACAAAAAACCTCATTTGTGAGGCCTCCTTCTTTTTTTTCTTGGAGACAGAGTCCTCACTCTGTTGCCCAGGCTGGAATGCAGTGGAGCAGTCTCTGCTCACTGCAATCTCTGCCTCCCAGGCTCAAGCAAATCTAGTGCCTCTACTTCCCAAGTAGTTGAAACTACAGGTGCAGGCCACCACATCCAGCTAACTTTTGTATTTTTAGTAGAGACGTATTTCCCCATGTTGGCCAGGCTGGTCTCAAACTCCTGGCCTCAGGTGATCCACCCGCCTTGGCCTCCCAACGTGCTGGAATTACAGGCATTAGCCGCTGCACCTGGCCCATTTCTGAGGCCTTCTAAACTCCTTTAGTTCAAAGTACTTAGCATGCCAAGTACTGTACTTTGGGGTATCATTTTCTGAGCCCCAGTAGGGTTCTAGGTGATTTTCAGGTAATACTTTTCTGCACATTATTGAAAATCACCAATAAAGGTTAAAGTCAAACTATTAAAAGCAAAATTATTTTATTGATCAGGGCCTGAAGGTCTAGTAGAATTTGACTATAGCCTAATCAATGGCATCAATCCATATTGCTGAGAAAGAATGTGTAGACAAGGGAAGGTGGACTATCTGTTAAGAAGGGAAACCCTGGGGAATCAGGGTGAGGTGTGGCAGCTCTGCCTGTAGTGCAGTCCAGTGTCCAGGGTGGTGGGAGCTCACTTGGGGGAAGTTTGATCCAGGACAAAGGTGAAATGGCCTCAAAACTATCCCATTTCCTCTTGCGTTGATTCCATGCTCCGTAAAACTTTCGAATCATTCATCTTTCTAGGTGCCTGATTAATAAGAAAGACATTTGAAGGGCTGTTTGTCATGAAAACAAATATTCTCACTTATCTTCTGGCATCTTGTGAATTTGGCAGGCATTAACCAGTTTTCCATGACCCAGCACTGCTGAATCTGTTTTCTGGGCTTGTCAGGTTAAACAGTTAACCACCAGCTATAAGCCCTACTACCTTTAGCACAAGTGCCTGAACTCTAGAGTGCCAGTATTACTAATGCGAATACATATTAAATAAATAAGTGAAAAGAGATAGTTTTTGCTGAATCAAAACACTACTGTCTTTTCTCTTACAGATTGTTAGAAGATACAGTGACTTTGATTTGCTTAACAACAGCTTACAGGTACATGTTTTGAAATTCTGATTACACACATTGATTACTTGGGGTGTCTAAAAAACTCATTGGAAATGGCAACACCAGAAACAAGAAATTAGCACATTTCCCTGGCAAAGAAAATAAATTGCTACTTTACATAGATAATGTGTGGCTCTAAAAATAAACTTTTGGGAATCAACATGTGATTTATAATTAATAGTCACCTTGCAAACAAGTACAATGTGCCAGACTTATCCTTACCAGTCATAGGAGGCTGATGTAATATCTCCTTTTCACAGATGAGGAATGATTACATGGATTGCTAGCATTGTTCACTTAGATGGAGCTGGGACTCTGACTCTTTGGCTATATAGTCAGCTCTGCAGATCAATATTCAGCAGTAACTGTAGAGACTCAGCCTTTTTCTGTTTAACATTTTTCTCCTAAATATGTATTTAGAAATCCCTTTAAATGTTCCTAACTTGAGGGCCATAATGGGAAGAAGCATGAGCTGCAAGGTCTTTGTCTAGAAATGTGGAAGGGTCCAAGAGGGGCTTTAGCACCTTAGGCAGTCCTGGCAATACCAGCCATGTCTTCACCTGGCAGGCTGGTCTTCCAGTGCCTTGGATTACTGAAGACTATTGTACACGTGTGTGGCATACCTCAGATTTGATTGGGAACATAAAATTCTTTAAACCTGTGGAAGAGTGCTCGGCTTATGAGATAAAGGACTCGGCCAGGAGGGAAAGGACTACTCCCGTCATTGGTGAGATAGCCATTATCGCTCATTCTGAGTGACTTCTGATCTTGCACACAAAGGTCAGGAGGACCGTCTACTAGGAGGAAGAATAATACTTCTTTTCCTTCAGAAGGCCACATTTTGTTGATCAGACTTCAGAAAATAAGCACTTTGGAAGACCAAGGTGAAGCACTCCTCACCTGAGGTCAGGAGTTGGAGACCAGCCTGACCAACATGGCCAAACCCTGTCTCTACTAAAAATGCAAACCTTAGTTGGGTGTGGTGGTGGTACTCACCTGTAATCCCAGCTACTCAGGAGGCTGAGGCAGGAGAACCACTTGAACCCAGGAGGTGGAGGTTGCAGTGAGCTGAGATTGTGTGACGTTGCACACCAGCCTGTCTCAAAAACAAAAAAGGAAATAAGCATTTGTAGAGCCCAAATTTTAACATCATTTATAACACTGCTGAAGGCATGAATGCCTTATTTTCCTTTTGAAGGAAGTGGCCCTAGTATCTGCAGACATTTATGTAATTGCCATACTTGTCATGCATTTGACACATACTGTCTTTTTGTATTTTAATTTTAGTATGACCCATTTGAGTCTTCAGATAGAATATTGGCAGAGATCAAATTCTCATTGATGGGTTTAATTGGTTTTATTTATGGAGTTTAATAGCATCTTCTTTGTACTCAGCCAAGAGCTGGGCCTACAATGACATTGTAAATGAGGCATCAATGTGCAGTTTATTCCAGCAGTGGATTTTCTCAAGCCATCCTATCCCCCATGCAGTGGCCCATGTGACATTTCCACAGTGGTGTAGGCATTTGGGAATTAACACTGGCCTACTAAGTATGTCTGCCTTTATGCTCGAGTGAACCTTTGCTTGTGTATAAAGGGGTAGTGATCTTTATACAATGTCATTCAGCCAGGCTGAGTAAGAATTGTGGGAGAAATATTTTTGAAATTGGAATTGCTGGCTGGGTGCAGTGGCTCACACCTGTAATCCCAGTACTTTGGGAGGCCAACACGGGAGGATCACAAGGTCAAGAGATTGAAACCATCCTGGCCAACATGGTGAAACCCTGTCTCTATTAAAAATACAAAAATTAGCCAGGCATGGTGATGGGCACCTGTAATCCCAGCTCCTCAGGAGGCTAAGGCAGGAGAATCACTTGAACCTGAGAGGCAGAGGTTGCAGTGAGCTGAGATCCGGCCACTGCACTCCAGCCTGGTGACAGAGTAAGACTCTGTCTCAAAAAAATAAATAAATACATAAATAAAATAAGCTGAAATTGCCTAGAATTAGCCTTTGAGAATAGAGGGTGGGAAGGAGAGTTTTATCTCTCATTTGCTTATACTTTGGGGTAATAAGGCTTACTTGCCATGACTCTTCGCTTATGGCCTTTTTAACATAGTGGATTTTATTTTTGCTTCAGTGTAATTTTACCTTTTGAAATGAGTACTTTCAGTGTGAATCTTATTTCAAATGCAAATATCCCCATATATTGATGTTGGCTTGTGTTGGGCAGAATATGGCCAGACATCATTTCAGTGGGAGGTTTTGTTGGATTCAAGTAAACAAACAGAAGAAAGTACATACAGCTTTTTGGCAATGAAATAATTTCAAAACAATCTCCATAAAACAGACTGAAAAGACTAAAACCTCAGAATAAAACTGTGACCATGATTTTCAGTGTCCAGTTACCCTTTTGACAGATAAATGACTTCCTGCTGAAGAAAGATAAAATGTACATATTCAGAGTTATCTGAGTCTAACAGGAACATGTCTAAGTGAAAAAAAGCAGAATGCAAAATTATACATCCCATATAATATAATTACATGACATGTTTGGAAAACAGGGTTGCAGGTAAACATGCCAATAATGGTGATCCCCAGGTGGCAGAATAATAGGTTATGTCTTTTTCTTTCTTTTTCTTTTAATGTTCTGTACTTTCCAAGTTCTCCACAAAAAAGCACATGTAGGCTATGTAAGAAGAAAAATAGAAAAAAGCTGCATTTTCCAACCTTTTTTTTTTTTTTTTGAGATAGAGTCTTGCTGTGTCACTCAGACTGGAGTGCAGTGGCATGATCTTGGCTCACTGCAACCTCTGCCTCCCGGGTTCAAGTGATTCTCCTGCCTTAGCCTCCTAAGTAGCTGAGATTACAGGCATGTGCCAGCACACAAGCTAATTTTGTATTTTTAGTAGAGACGGGGGTTTCACCATGTTGACCAGGCTGCCAGACTTTATAGTGAGCATATTTTGTGAAACAATGAAGAAAAATCACCGCCTTATTTTAAATGCACCGTCAAATTACCAGCTGTCTAGGGAGACACCACACAACGAAGAGAAAGAAGCAGCCTGTTGAAATGTTGGGAACTGGGCAGAGAGATGGAACTGTCTCTGTCCCTTAGACTTGAGAACGAACCCAACATTGCCTCTTCCAGCGTTGAGACCTTGAGTCCATCATTTCTTCTCTCTGGTCTCACTTTTGCCGCTGAAATAAATGGGTTGAACTAGATGACCTTTTTTTTTGAGACGGAGTCTTACTCTGTCGCACAGGCTAGAGCACAGTGCTGCAGTTTTGGCTCACTGCAACCTCTGCCTCCTGGGTTTTAAGCAATTCTTCTGCCGCAGCTTTCCGAGTAGCTGGGATTACAGGCACCCACCACTGCACCCGGCTAATTTTCGTATTTTTAGTAGAGACTGGGTTTCACCATCTTGGCTAGGTGGGTCTCAAACTCCTGACCTCATGATCTACCCACCTTGGCCTCCCAAAGTGCTGGGATTACAGGAGTGAGCCACCACACCCAGCCAAACTGGATGACTTCTGAGGTCTCTTATAGCACAAATATTTTGTAATTAGAATTTTACTGCCCATTGTTGACCTCGGAGAGACTTGACTGTAATCCGGGGACAGCTGGGGATTGAGACAAATTGAGGGTCTGTTGAGAGCTTAGAACCCCCTAGTCTATTGACTGGAATATGGTTGAAGGCAATTTGCAGATCATTAAGATCTGATGTTGGAAGTAAGGAGCATAGAACAGATTGAGTTTGAAAGTTTTTCCTCCAGATAAAAGCTAGGTTTCTTGAAACTGTGATATAGTTTGTCATGTAATTTATTTTGGGCTTTAGATCCCAATTTGAGAATCTTTCACTGCTTTCCAATTTCTTTTTTTTTCCTTGAGACAGAGTCTCACTCTGTCACCCAGGCTAGAGTGCAGTGAGTCGAGATTGCACTCACTGCAACCTCCGCCTCTTGGGTTCAGGTGATTCTCTTGCTTCAGCCTCCTGGATAGCTGGAATTATAGGCGCCCACCATTGAGTTCTGCTAATTTTTTTTTTTTTTATCCTCAGTAGAGATGGAGTTTCACAATGTTGGCCAGGTTGGTCTTGAATGCCTGACCTCAGGTGATCCGCCCGCCTTAGCATCCCAGAATGCTGGGGTTACAGATGTGAGCCATGGCACCCAGCCTCCCCCTTCCATTTTCATTCTGCAGTTGTACATGGAACTCTGGAGATTCCTCTGCTGGCTGTCATGTTCTCTTTTTTTTCTATAAGGAACTCAAGAAGGGAATCCATATAGCATGTTAAAGAGGAGGAAGGTAGTGACAGTGAGATGATGAGGCTTTCTGGCTTGAAGTCATCTGTGTGGAGGTGTCTGGGAAATCAGTGGCTTAGAGACTTTATTATTCTATGTGTAGTATTCTTTTCCCCTCCCTTCTAATTAGCCATTGGATTTCTAAATTTTATATTCTACAATTGGTAAGAAGTTAGAAATTCTAGGAGAATGCTAAAAGAGAAATTGTCTCTTGAACAATCTTTTTTAAGAGGTGAGGGGTTTTTTTTTTTGTTTTTTTTTGAGACGGAGTTTCACTCTTGTTACCCAGGCTGGAGTGCAATGGCGTGATCTCGGCTCACTGCAACCTCCGACTCCTGGGTTCAAGCAATTCTCCTGCCTCAGCATCCCGAGTAGCTGGGACATGCGTGCACCACCATGCCCAGCTAATTTCTGTATTTTTACTAGAGACAGGGTTTCACCTTGTTGCCCAGGATGGTCTGGATCTCTTGATGCTTAGCACAGATGGCAAGGTATCTGTGCTATGTGAAAGCTGTGAAATAGTGCTCTAAGAGTTGTCAAGAGCTGTGGTTTTACATCTTTTCCTCATTGCAAATTTAGTGACTTTCTACACATTATATGGAAGTAAGTGACTAGCAAATAAAACAGTCATAAATACAAAGCAAAGGTTGCACTCCCCCAATCCCGACTTAGCCCAGGTCTGCGA